AGAGCGCCAATTTCACTGAAGCAAGGACAGAGCTGGGTCAGATTGACTGAAACAAAAACTTGGTGTGGTAAAAATGAAAGCTGAACTATTGGCTACCTTCAAAAAGGAAATGGTTCCGGTACAGTCATGGTGTAGTCCTTCAAAAGGGAAAAGGAGGACAAAGAAATCCAGAGCTCCCTAGCTGAGAAAGGTGATGGAAATTGCAATAATGAAGAAAAATGTGCTTATGACAGTGTCAGGTAGAGAATACAATTGAGAACCCAAGAAGAATACAGGAAGTTCAGAGGCAAAGTGGAAAAGCATAATAGAGAAGCAGAGAGGAGTTATGAGAAAAGACTGGTGTCCAACGTAAAAGATAATCCCAAATTCTCCATAGGCATGTCAATAGTAACAGGAATAGGGCTGATTAAGGACCATAAAGAGGATTTACACATGGAAGCAAGAAGCATGCCTGAGGTGTTAAGTGAATATTTTACCTTGACCAAGGATGCTACCCAAGCCAGAGGAAGTTCTGACACTAGAACAGTTCAAAATTGATGAGGTGGAAATATTGGATAGACTGTCAGTAGTTAAAGTTGACAAGGCTCTTAGACCAGATGAGCTATTTTCGAAGATATTGAATGAGGTGGAAATTACATGAGAACATTGGCCATAATCTTTCAGACTGCTCAAGACTCCGGGAAGTGCCGGAGGACTGGAGAATTGTTGACATTACAACTGTTTTTGAACAAGGGTGTAAGGATGAGCCCAACTCTTGTACACCAATCAGTTTCAGCAGGAAGGAAAGCTTCTGAAAACAATTAGTTAGGATAGAATTAGTAATCACGTGGAATTTTTTTTTCAGGAAGATGTAGCATGGACTTCTAAATGGGAAATAGTGTAACCAACTTGCTGGTGTTTTTGAAGAGGTAATAGAAAGGGTCAATGAAGGTAATGCTGTTGATTTGGACTCTCAAAAGGTATTCAGCACAGGCCACACGACAGACTTGTGACAAACATTATAATTCATGGAATAGAAAGGACATTAGTAACAGCTATACAAGATTGGCTTAGAAATAGGAAAAAGAGTAGCGGCTAATGTATTTCGTTTTTGGGCTGGATGTTTGTAGTGGAATTCTCCAGGGGTCAGTATTTGGATCCTTGCTTTTCCTGATACATATTCATGATTTAGATCTTGGAATGCAGGAGACAGTTTCAAAGTTTGCAAATGATTCAAAACTTCGAAGCATTGTGATCTGAGAGAAGGACATTGTAGAACTGCAAAAAGGAACAGATGAGCTGGTGGAGTGGGCGGATAGGTGGTAAATGAAGGTCAGTGTGGGCAAGTATGAGATGATATGTTTTGGTAAGAATAACATGGACAACAATATAAAATAGATGATGGAGGAGCAGTGACACCTTAATGTATATCTACATAGATTACTGAAGGCAGTAGAACAGGTGAAATGAACAAGTTAATAAAGCTTACAGTAGCCTGGTCTTTGCTTTAAAGAGGCATAGAGTATAAGAATAAGGAGGTTATACTGAACCCATAAGACATTTGTCAGACTTCAACTGGAATGTTGTGTACAGTTCTAGGTGCCACACTCTAGGAAGGATGTGAATGTATTGGCGAGAGTGCAGAAAAGGCTTGCAGAATGGTTGCAGAGATGAAAAAGTTCAGTTGTGAGGATAGACTGAAGAGGTTGGGATTGTTCTTGGAGAAGAGAAGACTAGGAGACGACATGATTGACATTTGCAAAATCATCATAAGTTTGGATAGAGTAGATGGGGAGAAACTGTTCCACTCATGAAAGGATTGAGGATGAGAGGGCACAAGTTTAAAGTGATTTGTAAATACCACAAAGATGATGTGAGAAAATGCTTTATCACATAATGAATGATTTGGGTCTGGAACATGCTGCCTGGAAGTGTGATGGAGACCAAGTCAGTTGAAGCATTCAAAAGGGCATTGGATGATTATTTGAATAGAAACAATATGCAAGGTTATTGGGAATAGGCAGCAGATTGGCTCCATGTGATAATGTTCATTGGTGAGCCAGTACAGGTATGATAACTGAATGGCCTCCTTCAACTCTGTAACAATTTTGAGAGTCTGTATTTTATTAAATGGGTTTTGAAAACACATTTGATCTGCATCCACTCTTTTTAACTATCCTCCATTATTTCTTCAAAGAATTCTATAATTTGGTCAAGCGCAACCTGTTTTTTTAAGTATGTATGCTGTTATGGCTTTTGGATATGGTTTTATGGTCTGCTTTATGCATAGATCCCTAGCCTTTAATGTACTCCCATTTTACCTTGCTAGAGTCATGGAATTATAGAATAGTACAAGACTGAAGGGAGCATTTGGTCTACTATCTCTGCAGTGGTTCTTTGGAAAATAATGTGGTTAACCCACATCCTTTCTATTTCCCCATATTTCTGTATTTTCTTTCTCCTTCAAGTAATTATCTAATTCCCTTTCAAAGTCTACCGTTGAATTACCTTAACAGAGAATGTAGTTCAAAGTCTAATTGCTTAAAAAAAAACTTTTCCTCATGCTCTCTCTGGTTTTCTACTGTTTACTGTTCAATTGGAAACAATACATTTTTACTTTTACCTATTCTTTCATGATATTAAACATCGCTATCACATCTCCGCTTAGCCTTCTGTCCTTCTCCCCTCCTCCATCTTCCTTCTGAAGGTGATATCCCTGACTTTTTAAGTCTGCCTGTATAACTCTAATGCCTCCACCCTGGAACCATTTGAGCAAATCTGTTCAGTCTCCTATGCAGAGTTGTCTTGTCCTCCTTTAGTGTGGACCGTAGAATTGGACACAATACCTCATTTGATACGAAACTTTTTTTTTATAAAGGATTAGCATAACTTTCTGACTGTTGTAAGTGTCTCTATTTATTAAATCCAAAATCTTGTATGCTTTATTAATCGCTCTGTTAAATTGTCCTGCCGGCTTTAAACATTTGTGCACACGTTGCACTGATTGTGTCTCTTCTTGCATCCCCTTTCCCTGACTAAATACATATAATACTCACCTACACTTCTGATTACTATTTTGCCATGTATTTAATTTGGCTAAGATTCATTTTATTTCTTTTATTTTCTTTCCTTTTTCCAGCGACAGGTGAACCTTTTGAAACAGTGGGCATGGTTTCTCAAATGTTTCCCTACGTTTGTGGTTTCTATGTTGAGTAGTGCTTCCTTCCTTCTTGAGGTAGCAAAATATTGACAAAGGAAACTGCACTACAAAAAACTGCTCTTTTTCATCATGAATGCTTTTTATGCCTCAGTCTATTTAAAATTTACAAAGCTAGCTGTTATTGCATAATCCTGTAAGTTGCCTACAAATGCAGTCCCTGGTTTCATTTCCACTGTTTCAGTGTATAATGTGCCGTCAGTGATTCTTGAACTGCTTAATTAAATCCTTATTACCATGGTATTATTTTTATTTAATACCTTTACCTCTCTTCACTTGGTGTTATTACTCCTGGATGTTTTAATCTAAGGAATATTTGATTAACCAGGCAAGTTTCAGTGAACGTTATTTCGTTATAGCTTTCTGTTTTCATCAGTTACTCTCTTTTTTTTCCCCTTTTTAAATATTTTGTGTGTATTCATGTTTTTAGTTTGAATTCTTTGGTTTGGTAGTTTGTACAAAAAAGTTGAAAGAGATTAAGCCAGAAAAAATAGTAAAGAAATGCCTGTCCTACGTTTCTCACTCACCACAATATATGTCACTAGGTTATTTGACACAGCCAAGCTTCACAGATGAACATGATCCTGTACTCTCAGGCGCCTTCATGGGCTTTCTACCAAGAATTACTGGCTAGTGTCCCCAGGTCTACATACATTAACCCCTTTTTTTACATTGAGACACATACTGAGGCCTATTGTTTTAAGTTTGTTCTCGGTATTTTTCATTGGAAACTGTTTGGAAGTTAGTGATGTTTAAGTATTATGTTTTAAAACAAAACTCACACAGACTTTTCATCATAAAAGCCACTGACTTTAGGGATTGAAATTTTGAAACTAGATAATTCAGATGTGGAATGTCATGGCTCATTGTCTGTTCAGATTGCAACTTCGAGGGTCAAATGTCTCATCTTGGGTCATTTAAGCCTGGGTAGCTCAACTTAATTTTGAGAATAGAACAAGATGTTTTTCCTTGAACCTGCAACCCAAGGGAGAAGGCGAGGTATCCTGTTTTAATGACAAACCTAATTCTTAATCACGGAATGGGGAAAGGAGTTAGTGACTGTCCTTTGACTTTCTCAGTGATCACATCAAAGGGACACTTTGGACAGTCACTCAACCAGCCAAGTAAACCTGGCATTTGAAACATAGATCTAGGTAAAATTGGAAGGCTTGTCAAAAACACTGTACCAAGACTGGCAATGTGGAAAATAGGATGTATTTGCTTAGGTATGTTATATTGTAAATGTGCCTGTTGTCTGGAGGGTAAAACAGCAATAATATGTGGCTTCTTTTACTAACAAGTTTGTCTGTCTTCAGAAAATTAGTGATGTGTGTATGACACAATATTCTGTTCAGATCATACGGTGTTCCTGTTGTTATGGGCTTTGATATCTTATAGTTGGATATTGGGCATTACAGTCCCACTGCTGAATGCAAAGTATTTGAACTGCTATGGAAGTGACCAATGTTAATGTACCCCTGAGAGAGTATCCGGACAGGGTCTGAAAAACATTCACTGTAAAATACCAGACTCAGCTGTATGAGGCATTGTACACCTAATACTTCTTTCTAATACGAAACTCCAAGTCTATCAGTTCTGTGGACAAAAAGCCTCCCAAATTCATGTCAGCTGTGTTCTGGCCCAATATGTAACAAGGTACATGCATTTGTCATCTTTATTAAAGCTGTTCAGAAATTAGATACAATAACTTATTTTATATCTGCAATATTCTTGTAAGTAATTTGAATTTTGTAAATCTACTGTAGAAGTCTTAATTACTTAAGCTTGTACTGACAAAACACCAGGGTATTGTTGTTTTCAGCTACTCTTCATTTCAGCCATTCTTTGTTTGCTGTTTGGGCCAGTTCACTATGGAGTAGTTGTGTCTGTTTCCAGCCCTGCACATTTTGGAATGAAATTGGATAATGACTCGAGTAATGGTGTCAGAATTACATCATCAATGAAAAATATTACTACCCATTTTAAAGCAACCAAAATCAAGACCATCCAAAGATTGAATTGAAGTACCTTTCAGTTTTAAATGTCAGTTAACAGCAGAACACAAATTTACTGTGTTCCTTGGATGAATATAAGAGTTTGTTCATAGCTGCAGTTGCTTTTTAACTCCTCTGTAAATGACATCTGGACTAAGTATGTTACCTCAGACTCTGGTTGACTACTAATTGTACTGGTTGCTATCTACTCTTTTATGTTGGGTGTGATCCATGATTAATTTCTGACATAAATGTGACTTCTTTTCCATAATTGTCCATAAATATCTGCCAATTTACTTAACCATTTGTTAATATAAATATTGTGGCTTACAAGTTAATTAACTCACTGTTTCACTCTTTCTTTGCAGTGCTATTGTATTCCATTTGACTAAAGAATCTGGGGTTTAAAATTGAACTGTGTTGAATTCTGTTTTCATCAGGTACATCGTTCGAATAGACCAATTGTCTGCAAAGGATGCAGGAGAACATTTACCAGCAACCTACAGCATGGTGCAAGGCGGTTTGGCCTCTGTGACAGCTGCACGTGTGTGATGACCACCAATGAGGAGACATCACCAGTCAATCTAAGCCAGACTGAGCAAGTTTTGGAGAACCAGGAGAAGGAGGACAAAGATGCCAGCTGGCCTGTGTACATAGAATCCAGTGAGGAGAATGAATCTGCTGGAGACAATGTGGATGACAAGCAACAGATTCAGAGAAACTTGACAGATGGTGAAGGATTTATTTAGGGCCACCGGAAATTACTTCCTTTCCAGGTGGGTTGCAAATACTCTCTAAATATCATGTTGAACAGGTGCAGTTATGTACTGCTGTATATAGTTGAAAACTTCAAGGCCAAAGAAACTCTAGCCACTACAGAACTCTCTGAGATCAGAGCAATTTAAAAGAACCCCTACCCAAGGAGTTCATTTGAAGGTCAGTAAACTGGAGAGAAGACTGCTAAAGAATGCATGTCAATCTGAACGGAGGAAGCTGAGAAACCTCTTTCTGTGACAGCTTCCTTAATGGAAGGAGCCAAATATCTGCTGGTAAAACCAAAGTGAAATCTTCTGCACTGGCAGAAAATTTAAAGCCAATTCCTTTTCAACTTTTGCTGACTATTTATCTTTGTGAGAAATGTTTTTCTTCGCATACAATATTCTACGCAAATACAACAGACCTGGAATAATTCTACAGTAAGCAAATTGTTCTGGGAATGAAAACGCCAGTGGTTGACAGGGCTGTTCCACTGGCAAATCATTTAACATTTCAAGATCAAACAGCTTGAAATACTGTGCATTGAATAACTTTGTATATAAAGTTCTTTTTTTAAAATAGCACTAAAATACAGTGGTCTTGGTGTAATGAAGTATTCACTGTTGGTGAATACGTGGATGTTTTATAGCTTGTACATAGTGGATATTGTCTTGGTGTTCCTACAGTTGGGTAAAATCTGTTCGCTTAGAATTAATCTTAGGGTTTGAAAGCCAGAACCACTGGATTTCCCGAGCCCCTGTGGGATACAGAACATGATTTAACCAGGATATGGCACAGGTGGATGGAGGTAGGGTGGATTCCAACCAACTGAGGAAGGCTTTCCAGCACTTGTCTATATATTTATGATAATTGTATCCATTCTCATTATTGCCTCCTTTTTTAATGTAAGTTGTTGAATTTATTCCCATTCCTGGCAGCCTACAGGTTTGGCTAAATGGACGTGGAAACTGAACAGCTGGAATGATAAAGATTTTGATGAACCCTGTTTTTCACTTTTGGAAGGTGAAATTCAAGGGCTAGAAAATAGTATTTTAAAAGAACTTGTTCTACAGGAAACGAAACTGAAAATTGTCCACTGTAAATGTGTATGTATTCTGATGGCTATATCAGAACTCCTTTAAACTGCAATAATTTTTTTTTTTAAATTTAAATTTGACCTGTCTAAAAGGGTCAAGTAGCAGAAAGGACTGCTCATCTGTAAAGCAATCCTGAACTTGGTCTATACGTTACATTGCCATTGCTGACCCCCAACTGGATAAACTGTCATTGTTTTGTGTTGGCTGCATTGTGTTGGAAAGTGTCCCTTTGTGTCTTGTTGACACATTGTTCCCTTGTCTGATCATTTCTGTTGGTTTGGGCACTATATTTTAATGTTTTATCTTAATAATTACTGAGTGGATGTGATCTTAATGTACATGTGCATGTTGTAAAGTTTGTTCTCAATTATACTGAGACTAACATTGTCCTCTCTGACTGGGAACAGAGAATACTTTTATAACGTAAAACAGAAGGCCAGAAATCATACAGCCAGTTATCTCAAAATATTAAAACAATTGATCAATAACCCATATTGATTCATCTTTCCTCCACCCCATCAAAAGTGATTACAAGTAAATTCCTTTCTTTATAAGATCCCTGCCTTTTTTATCTACAACAAATCAGATCAAACCAGCTCCCACATTTTACCCAGTATCACTTTGATAAACGAGTACTGTTTCTCAGCAAACCCTGCTTTAAATTTTTCTTTTCTATCTGCAACCATATCTCAATTATAAAAACAATTTCTTGGACTAATCAGTGTCGCTGACCCCTTTCTTATCCTTTTATACAGTTGAATTTAAAAGAGATCAGATGTTGGAGTAAATTAACATCCTGGTCTTTTCATTATTTAAATTTAGGGACCTGGATATTAAATCCAGCCGAGAATAGTGGTATATGTTCTGCTCTAACTGCTAACTGCACCCTACTCTAGTTGCCTGAAAGTATAAATTATTCATAATTTATTGGTAATCTTACTTAGGGCAAGGATGTGGGTAGTGTAAGTGAAGTTACACTATTGCATTAGATACCAGGGACAGTTGAGATTAAAAGTTGTCTGGTAGAATACAGATTAAGTTACCTATGTAGCTGTTAAGTGGAACCAAGGAGTCAAAGCTAAAATATGTGAAATGCGAAGGGATACCTAGCATACTGCAGAGCCATGTCAATTGATTATTCCCAGTACTGGGGGCAGATTAGCAAATTAATTTCTGGCCAAAAGGGACCGACTGTAGAGAGAAGTTAGATCTCTTGGTGCAAAATAAAGATGATGTACCAGTAACTGACCCATATCCAAATTGGTGTGTTGGAAGCCACTGCAGAGTAGCCAAAGTAAGAAGGCATTCATTTTCAATGTCTCAAGATACCATGCAATTTTAAACTCGAGCAGAAAAAAGCCTTAATGTTTTCAATCAAAAATTGCGACTTTTTGTTTAATAATTACAAATTGTTCAGTCTTTGTTTCAGCATTATTTTGCTGAGGCATTATATTTGGCATCACAGAGTCATTAACACAAGTGGAGCAGTTGGACTGTTTAGCATTCAGCTAACAGGAAAGGGAAAGATCAGTTGGGGAAAGGTAGCAGTGTGGCTGAAATATACCTTTTTGTTCTTCATTTCTAACCATTGTAATCCCTTTAAACTGAATGTAAATACATTTGATTCATGAGCATGATAATGTTTATCTCAAGACGTGGGTAGTAGTCTATTGCAAATGAATAACCCCTTGCTTTATCCACACAGGGTGCTGAGAATAAGGCAGAATTGAACTGCGCTGTTGGAAACTAATATGGCATTTCAGTTATTGTAACAGTATTGTGTCAGAGCATAAGCCCCTGGTTCTCCAATTAAAGTACTTTCCATCCTGTTGGAGAACACCACAATATTCAGAGATGTTAACTGGCTAATGTGCTGTTTAATGAATGTTTGTTTAATTTTTAAGCTGTAACGTAGAAATCTCTCCGAAGAGCAGGTTCTGTCTCTCAAATAATGTAATTTCAAAAATGCATGAATAGAATCTTGTTCAATTTTTTAATAAGTTCTATATGCTGAATTAATGTTAAAAGGAGTGTTCCTTTATAGTAGAATTGCTAGTGGTATTGAGTGTTACAGTAGCAATATCACTGATAAGTAGGAATATTATCTTAATGCAAAGAAAGGGATTTTCATTTTGTCTTCCTTGGCCCTCTCATTTTGGCTTCTTTCTTCTGGAGAATAAATGGAATTTATAGCTGTATGATTACTGTGTGTTCTGAAACCTGTCAGCTGAATTAATTAAGTCAGTTACAGTAACCTCCCTGTTTCTGTAACTGCTGGGTGACTCCTAATTGGTGATGGAACGTGGAATTCGGGGTATAAAACTTCTACTAAATATAATTAAAACGGATCTTATTTTCTACTTCATTTTTAAAAATATTCACTCTTTTGGATTCTTATTTTCTGCCTCCAAAACATGTATTATTGTGTATTATTTCCTATCTAAAATAGCTCAACAGACAACCTCCTAAGTTCTTTCTGTTGTTGCTGTGTCTGAGATGAGAAGTCTGCATGTTTGTGGTGTCCAGTCCTTTGTTGTTTACCATTCCTTCTTGGCCCCAGCTCAGCAGAAACTTCCTATGTGGAAATTCATAGATTAAAGAATTACATTTGACCAACCTCTGTGGCGTCGTTATTTGCCACATCAAAATGCTGTAGGTCCACACTCTGAATAATTTTTGAAAAGTGAGGTGTGTTTAAACCAGATTGTACATTTTAAGTGGGCAATTTGGAATTTTCTTTGTGCTGGCAAAATTGCTTTGGTACAAATGCTGATCCCCAGTCATTTTAATTTAATTTGGTGTCAATATATGCTGTAAGATATTTAATCACTATTGCATTTGCATTTGCAGTTGTCTTACTGCTAAAACAAGTCTTTAATACTGCAGGGCAAATTGAAGACCTGCTTCCATTGTCATTGTATAGGATCTCATGATTTGGTGAGACTTGATGTGAACTTGTTGCACCTGAGCATTGTTTCCCCTACTTCTTTTGAAGAGCATTTAAATATTACGTCTAGATATTTTTTAACCTTTTGTTTCTAGTCAATCTGATCAGAGAGATTATTACACACCTCTGGAGCAGGTGGGATTTAAACCTGATTCTCCTGGTCCAGGAATAGGGATACTACCACTGTGCCATAGATTTTTTTTTAAATCAACCTGTTCAGACATGTTAGGACACACCTTTGGAATCGTTGGGACTTGAACCCGTGTCTTCTGCCCAGAGAAAGGAACATTCCCCCTTCATCATTAACCCTAAATATTACTGAACCGTTTTGGTGTTTTCGCTTTGAATTTCACAAATTGTGATCTTGTTAGTATGAACTTGCCAATAGGCACAACAAAGTGACAAAATCCTGTATCTTATGGCCAACCAACAAAATGGCAGTTTTAAAAACTATATTCTTAAAGTGATTGTTTGTTTATTTATTTGTTAACTGTACTGCAGATCCCAGACAAAAGTCAATGCGCTGGCTTATTACACCTCTAGTAACTGTTAGCCAGAATGTGCACTGTCCCATCAGCACAATAAATGTGACCTAGTGCTTTGTATCTCTACAGTATTACTGTTATTAAAATGCATTTTCATATTGTATGTCATTAAGGTATTTTGTATTCTTCGGACTTGTGGTGCAGCCCGTTTTGGAGCGTGGAAAATTGATGTAGATAGGATCAGTTTATCTAATTATATGATGATGTAATCTGAAGGTTTAATAATTGGACCCTTGGATCTGGTGTATTTTAAATGGTCTCATTTGAATTCTAGTCCATATGTTGGAAGATTGTGAACCACTTTAGTGACATGAGCCCTGGTTTGAATTGTGGAGCTGTTTTGTTTTACAGATGGCAAGTGAACATAACCTTTGTAAGCAAACCTCATTTTCTTCTTTCAAATTTCCTTCTCTTGAAAATGGGATGAGTTGTGGGCGGGGGGGAGATTAAAAAACAAAAAAAAACGACATGCAGTGTCCTTTTTGTGGGCTGACTCTGGCATTAACTTTCTCAACTACCTGCAAAATGATTAACTGCAAAAGCTGACCTCCTGCACCTTAACTCCAGGACCTTTCATTTCTACTTCTGATTTTCAAAAAAAAATGGCTGATTGTTTGTGTCTTTCTTCCCCCTCCATTTTTGCCTTCTGCATTTGTAGGAAGGTAAAAAACAATGTCTCTGCCTTGTTCTCTATCAGGAATATTCTAGTATGTTTGGCAGCCAAGCTAACTGACTGTCTCTCACTTAAGGTTATGTGCTCACCAGTCACCGCATTCTGAATTCAGTAATTAAATTACTCCATTATAATAGGTGCTGGATGTTCTGTTAGACAATCTAAGGGGAAAAAAGTATCAAATATTTCTGCAGTTCAATAGTCTGTGCAAATTTACTTTGCCTTAATGCTTGAAAACGCTAATATAATTTTTATATCTTCTCTGTTTTAAAAGAAACAAAAATCCAAAAATGTGAAAATTGAAGACCAGTAGGTTTGTCATGTCTGTAGTCTCGGATTGCTAAAAGAATTGTGCTGCTCCACTGCTTGTCCTTCTGAGATCACTACTGTAGTATTCTCAGTGAGTGATCCAGACATCTGGTCTCAACTGTTGTTACAATCTCTATAGAGATTGATAACTTATGAAGAGCTTCAAAATTCCAGTTACAGTTAAAAGAATAACACGATTTGATGTTTTAAAATGTTTACTATAACAAATGACAAAACACTTCTTTTTGTGGGCAACTTGTACTTAAAAGTATAGAGAGGAACATTCTCATTTCATACTTATTACTCATTACAATATCCATGGAACTGCATTGCTTATAGCAAACACTTAATGGTTGCTCTCAACTTCCATTGGGATCCTAATCCCCATTTTGCTGAGTACAGTGGTAACGATGAGTGACCATCTGCTCTCTCCAGTCTTTGGAGCGTGCTTCTCTATTTAAAGCTTCAGGTCAGTAACTGGCCTTGTTTTGTAATAAAGAATACTTTTTGGAGTGCAACAGAAGCTGTTTGGATCTTCTATATTCTTTGGGATCATAGAATCCCTACAGTGTGGAAACAGGCCCTTCGGCCCAACAAGCCCACACCGACCCTCAGAGCACCCCACCCAGACCCATCCCCCTATAATCCCCTCACCTACACATCCCTGAACACTACAGGCAATTTAGCATGGCCAGTCCACTGAGTCTGCACATCTTTGGACCGTGGGAGGAAACCGAAGAACCCGGAGGAAACCCATGCAGACATGGGGAGAATGTGCAAACTCCACACAGACAGTCACCCGAGGGTGGAATCGAACCCGGGTCCCTGGCGCTGTGAGGCAGCAGAATTGTTCTTATGAAGGGCCACTGGACCTGAAACATTAACTCTGATTTTTTTTTCTTCACAGATGCTGCTAGACCTGCTGAGCTTTTCCAGCAACTTTGTTTTTGTTCCTGCAATGTTGCGTCTGGATTCTGGACTGGATTGCACTGTTCAGCTGTGAAGCTGACTTGTTACTTCTGCTCAGGTACTTGCAGGTACACTAGCTCCTGGGCCACTTAGTGACGAATTACCTTTGGAAATTCATCTTGATTGTTTGGCTTCTCTTATTGTTACCTTGGTGGGGGGAGAAGGAGGCAAGAGGCTAAGGGTAATGTTATTGACTGCATTTCTATCTCTTTTTAGAAGATTGTTTAATTGTGGTTTGTCATTTGTACAAAATATGGAATTAGAAGTGTTGTTGGATTCACACAGGAATTGCAATTTCTATACCCATTTGTCCAAGCGAAAAAACAACGAGCTTGTCATTTCATAAGTGAATGAAAGAATGAGAGAAGGGGTTATTTGGAGAACCACCCAAAGTATGGGAGCAGAATTAAATTTTTTTAACCTTTCCATAGAGTTCAGAATTGTTGAAGTGAGAGGGAGCAGCACTATATGAGGCAAAAAAAATCACTTCTTCAGATATATATGGAAATATGAGACTAAATGCTAAAATGGATCAAAATTAAAATGATAAAATTAATTCATCAAAGATTTCAAAAGCAACTTCTGTTCAGACTTTTCTAACATGAAGGAAGCGTCTGAGAAATTAAACTAAAATTATCATTGCCTCACTAAATGCTTTTCAAATCAAGGTATAAGGATGCAGATGTTGTCCTGCGTGGGAACTCGTTGATTCTTCTTTATATTTAGAAAGAGTGGATGGACTTGGAATCATTAGACGTTTATGTCACAAAAGGAAGCCATCAAGCCCTTCCTGTCTATGCGGATATAAAAATAGAAAACCAGCCTAATTCCACTGACAAACCTTTCGTCCCAAGTCTTAATTGTACTGGCAGTGGTTCGAATGACATCTAAAGGTCTGCAGAGATCAATCACTGGGTCCAATGGGCAGGGTGTGACTTACAAGTATGTGCCTGTCCAGGGCACCGTGTTAAAGAACAAGCAAGCAAGTGGCAACTGCAGGTGTGACTTGTTTTACATGATCAACCTCCCCCCAACAATGTTCCAGCTTGCTCCCTATTTTGCTGTTTTCTCTTTGATCTACTTCCCCTGTGCCCCAGTTGTCTTCATGATCCTGCTGCCCCTGGGCTCCTGCCAAGACAAGAGAGACTCTGTGGTGAAAAGCAGGTATACCTGTCTCTTCAATATCTGTAATTAAATACCTGTCATCTCAAAATGATTATTAAAACAACCTCTACGTGCAGCACTTTTATGATTATATTGTATAACATAGGTGAAGAATTTTGATTCTAATAATTTTTAAAAGTGGTCTATCAATGAACAGTTGAAAAATGTTTTATTCTCTTGTGGGACGTAGGTGTTGCTGGCTGATCCGCATTTATTGCCTATCCCTAGTTGCCTTTGAGAAGGTGATGATGAGCTGTGCCTTGAAACATTGCAGTCCATGTTTGTAGGTAGTCCCACAACACCGTTCTGTAAGGTGTTCCAGGATTTCGACCCAGCAATGGTGAAGTAATGGGAAGGTGTGGCCTTGTGGTATTATCGCTAGACTATTAATCCAGAAACTCAGCTAATGCTCTGGGGACCTGGGTTTAAATCCCACCATGGCAGATAGTGGAATTTGAATTCAATTTAAAATAAAATCTGGAATTAAGAATCGATTAATAACTGAATTGCCGATTGTTGGAAAAACCCATCTGGCTCACAGATGTCCTTCAGGAAAGGCAATCTGCTATCCTCACCCGGTCTGGCCTATGTGTGGTTGACTTCTCAACTACTATCTGAAATGACCTAGCAAGCCATTCAGTTGAATCAGTTCCTTCAACAAAGAAATGAAATCGTACAGACCACCTGGCATAGACCTAGACACTAGAAAAGACTACAGCAGAAACAGCCCTGTTGACCCTGTAAAGTCCTCCTGGGCACTAGTGCCAAAATGGGAAAACGATCTCACGCAGGAGTCAAGCAACAGCCTGACATAGTCATTCTCACGGAATCGTACCTTACACCATCCCAGGATTTGTCCTGTTCTAGTGAGCAGAGGTGGCAGCACAGTGATATACAGTTGGGAGGGAGTTGCCCTGGGAGTCCTCAACATCGAGTCCAGCCAGAATGAAGTCTCCGCTTCAGGTTAAACCTGGGCAAGGAAACTTGTTGGTTATCACCAAATGAGAGAGAAATTAAAATAAAGAAGTAAAATGTGCTTATGGCAGGTATCGGATTAAAAAATACAACTGTGAATCCAAGAGCAAAACAGAAAGTTCGGGGAGGTAATAAAACATATTGAGAAGCAAAGAGGAATTACAAAAGTCTGGGAGCCAATGTAAAGGGGAATCCCAACAAATTCTATTGGCCCAGCAATTGTAAAAGGGTGGTAAAAGGAGTAGGGCCGATTAGCGGTCAAAGGAGATTTATACATGGAAGTAAAAGGCATGGGTGAAATGTTAAATGAATATTTTGCATTTGTCTTTACTAAAGATGTTATGCTACCCAGGCTAGAGGAGAAAACCCTGTCACTCGAAGGGTTCAAAATTGATAAAGGAGGAAGTGTTGGATAGGCTTTTGATACTTAAAGCTGGCAAAGTTTTAGCACTAGATGATATGCATCCAGGATATTGAAGGAAGTGTAAGGAGTAATGCAGACACCCTGGCTGTAATCCTCCAGTCTTCCCTAGACTCGGGGAAAGTGTGAGAGGACTGGAGAATTGCAGAAATTAGGCCTTTGTTCAAAAAACAATGTTTGGATAAACCAGCATAGCAGACCAGTCAGTGTGACTTCAGTGGTGGGAAAGCTTCTGGAAACGGTTATTTAGGACGGAATTTTTAGTGACTAGGAAAAATGTGGGTTGTTTTTGAAGAGGCAGCATAGATTTCTAAAGGGGAAATAATGTTTTACTAACTTGCTGGAGTTCTTTTTTGAAGAGATAACAGGGAAGGCTTGAAGAGGTTCATACTGTTGATATGTATGTGGATTTTCAAATGTTATACTGAACTTATATCTCCGACGTACAAGGCCCTAAGCAAGAATTGTTCCCTTAAAACTCCCTATATAGTTATACCTTGAAAAGTGCCCATATTACAGAGGCAAATTGGACATTTTAAAACTCATAATGGTGAATAAATCCCTGGGACCTAATCAGGTGTATCCCAGAACTTTTTGGAAGCTAGGGAAGTGATTGTTGGATCCCTTGCTGAGATATTTGTAACATCGATAGCCACTGGTTAGGTGCCAGAAGACTGGAAGGTGGCTAATTTGGTGCCATTATTTTAGAATGGTGGTAAGGAAACTATAGACTGATGGGCCTGACATCAGTGGTGGGTAAGTTGTTGAAGGGCGTTCTGAGAGACAGGATCTATATGCATTTGGAAAGCCAAGGACGGATTAAGGATAATCGACATGGCTTTGTGTGTGGGAAATTGTGTCTCACTAACTTGATTGAGTATTTTTAAAGAAGTGACAAAGAAGTTTGATAAAGGTAGAGTGGTTGTCATTGTCTTTATGGGCTTCAGCAAGGCATTTTTATACAAAATTGGCTTGAAGGTAGGAGACAAAGGGTGATGGTGGAGGATTGTTTTTCAGACTGGAGTCTGTGACCAGTGGTGTGCTGCAAGGATTGGTGCTGGGTCTGCTGCTTTTTGGCATTTATATAAATGATTTGAATATGAATTTAGGAGGAATAGTTAGTAAGTTTGCAGATGACACCAAAATTGGTGGTGTAGTGAACAGAGAAGATTATCTCAGATAACAGGACCTTGACCAGATTGGCCAATAAGTGGAAGATGGAATTTAGTTTAGAAAAATGTGAGGTGTTGCATTTTGGAAAGGCAAATCAGGGCAGGACTTATACACTTAATGGTAAGGTCCTGGGGAGTGTTGCTGAACAAAGAAACTTTGGGTGCACCATGAAGGTGGTGTCACAGGCAGACAGGGTAGCGAAGAAGGCATTTGGTACACTTGCCTTTATTGGTCAGTGCATTGAGTATTAGAGTTAGGATGTCATGTTGCAGCTGTACAGGACATTGGTTATGCCACTTTTGGAATACATTCAATTCTGGTCTCCCTGCTATTGCAAAGATGTTGTTAATCTTGAAAGGGTGCAGAAAAGATTTACAAGCATGTTGCCAAGGTTGGAGGATTTGAGCTATAGGAAGAGGCTGAATAGGCTGGGACTATTTTTTTCTGGAGCGTTGGAGGTCGAGGGGTGACCTTATTGAGGTTTATAAAATTATGAGGGGCATGGATAGGGTGAATAGCCAAGGACCTTTTCCCAGGATATAGGAGTCCAAAACTAGAGGGCATAGCTTTAAGGTGAGAGTGGAAAGCGATAAAAGGTACCTTTGGGGCAACTTTTTCATGCACAGGATGGTGTGTATATGAAAGTGAGCTGCCAAGGGAAATGGTGAAGGCTGGTACAATTACAACATTTAAAAGGCATCTGGATGGGTACACAAATAGGAAGGGTTTAGAGGACTAAAGGCTAAATGCTGGCAAATGGGACTAGATTAATTTAGGACGTCTGATCGGCATGGATGAGTTGGACCGAAGGGTCTGTTTCCATGCTGTACAACTCTATGACTGTGCCGAGGCTGGTTGGCTCGCCGAGTTAGTTTGTTATTTTGCAGACATTTCGTTACTATGCTTGGTAACATCCTCAGTGCAGCCTCCGATGAAGCGTCGGTGTGTTTTCCTGCCTGGTTTTTAAACTCTGGGATCTGTTGAGATGGATTGCCTCACTTCTTCCGGTTTTCCTTCGAAGTGGAATGTATACGGGGTCGAGTTCAATGTGTTTATTAATAGCATGCTTCGTGGAGTGCCATGCTTCCAGGAATTCTCGTGCTTGCCTCTGCCTAGCCTGTCCCAGGATCTTGGTGTTGTCCCAGTTGAAGTCGTGGTTCTTCTTGTCCGTGTGGATTGAGATGAGTGAGTATTGGTCGTGTCTTTTTGTAGCCGGTTGGTGTTCATGTACTCTTGTTGTTAGTTTCTTTCCTGTTTGTCCGATGTAGTGTTTCTTGCAGTCTCTGCAGGGAATTTTGTAGATGACGTTGGTCCTGTCTATGGTGGGGAGTGGGTTTTTAGTTGGGGGGGGGCAGTTGTCGTAGGGTTGACGTGGGCTTGTGTGCCACTCTGATGCCCAGCGGTCGTAAGAGTCTTGTGGTGAGTTCCGAAGTGTTCCTGATGTAGGGTAGTGTGATGAGTGTGTCGGGGCATGTAGAATCTTTGATGATGTTCGTGTAAGCATCTTCTGACCCAGTTCTTTGGATATCCATTATCCTTGAACACTTGGAAGAGGTATTCTTCCATATACATTCCACTACGAAGGAAAACCAGAAGTGAGGCAAACCATCAGAACGGACCCCAGAGTTTAAAAACCAGGTGGGAAAACACACCGATGCTTCATTGGAGGCTGCACTGAGGATGTTACCAAGCATGGTAACGAAACGTCTGCAAAACAACAAACTAGCTCGGCGAGCCAACCAGCCTCAACACCCACAACTGGAGCTACAATCTACTCCAAAATCAATGACTGTTATGTCAGAAACTTGTTAGATCTCAGCTGCAGTATTGTGTATGTTTCTGGCCACCGCACAATAGGAAGCATGTGAACACAATTGGAGAGAGTGCAGAAAAGGTTTATAAAAATGGTTGTAGGAATGAGAAACTTCAGTTATGAGGATAGATTTGAAAGGTTGGGACTGGTGTTCTTGGAAAGAGAGGTTAAAAGGAGATCTGATAGAGATTTTCAAAATTATGAATGGTCTTGATAGAGTAGATGGGGAGAAAGTGTTCCAACTCATAAAAGGAACAAGAGGAGGGCACAGATTTGAAATAATATGCAAACATGTGGGAAAAAGGTAGATGAATGACATGAAGTCATGCTTCTTAGAGATGCCCCCTCCTGCACTATCACAATTCTGAGATTCTGTGGGAAGATAATATGTGGCTTGATGCATGTTGCAGGAGGGTCCTTCAGATATTTGGGGCATTAGGACAGATTTTTGGCAGGAGGCACCAGTTCAAAGAGATGGGCTGCACTCGGAACAGGACTGGGTTCATTGTCATTGCAAGGAGGTTCATTCTTTGTGGGTTAGAAATGGTTTAAAGTAAATTGGCAGGAAGATGGGCACTAATATATAAAAGTAGTGAAGAGGAATAAGCTGCACAAAACAAGGGATAGAGAGGATGATAGAAGAGTCTTATTGTAGTAAACAATAGAGCAGACTGAGGACTATGAGGTATGGAATAGATTTAAAATGCACATATGCAAATTCATTGGGTGGTGCATTGGTTTGATAAGCTCAAATAGAGATGTGGGAGTTGGCAGTAACAATGATGGAAACATTCCTTAAAAATTATGAGGATTGGGTGGGTTAATATTTGTGGATATCAAGAGTTCAGAAAAAGGAAGATGAGTGGCAATTGTCATACAGCACAGAAACAGACCCCTTAGGTCCAATTTGACTGCGCCAACCAGACGTCCCAATCTGATCTAGTCCCATTTACCAGAATTTGGCCCATAACCCTGTAAACCCTTCCTTTTCATATATCCACCCAGATGTCTTTTAAATGTTGTAATTGTACCCAGTTCTTCTGGCAGCTTGTTCCATACATGCACCACACTCTATGTGAAAAAGATACCCCTCCTGTGCTCTTTTTTTGATTTTCAAGACCTCCAGCACTTCATCTCCTGCAATATGAATTCTTTTCAAGACATCACTATTTATTTCCCCAAATTCCCTAGTTTCCATTGTACTTCCCCACAATACATACTGGTGCAAAATATTTGTTTAGTATCTCACCCATCTCCTGTGGTTCCACATGGATGGCTGTGTTGATTTTCAAGGGGCCCAATGGTCTCCCTAGTTACTCTTTTGCTCTTATTGTACTTGTAGAATCTGTTTTGACTGGTCAAGTCAAATGGGCAAGGGTAACATGGAAGATGAATTTATACAATGCGCCTGGGATTTTTTTTTTAAAAGAGACTATATTGCAAAACCCATCTGGGGATCATGCTATTTTAGATCTAGTAATGTGTAACGAGGTAAGATTAATAAAAGATCCTGTAGTTGAGAATCCTGTGGAGAGTAACAATCACAAATGCAGTTTGAGGGAGAGCAACTGCAGATGCTAGAAGTCAGAGTCAATAGATGTGAAACTGGAAAAGCACAGCAGGTCAGACAGCATCTGAGGAGCAAGAAAGTCAATGTTTCGGGTCAAAACCCTTTGTCAGGACTGGGGAGGGGGAGGGGAGTCCAGAAATAAATAAAGGAAGGGCGGTGGGGCTGGGGGGAAGGGTGGTTGGGATGGTGATAGGTAAGGGGTTATTGTGATTGGTCACTGGGTAGGGTGGAATGGATAGCATGAAGATGGACAAGTAAGGTCAGGTCAGGGAGGCGAGGAGGAGGGCGAGGGTTGGACACGGGATAAGGCTAGGGATGGAGGAATTTTGAAGTTGGTGAAGTCAATATTGAGGCCATTGGGCTGAAAAGTCCCAAGGCAAAATATCAGGTGGTGTTCCTCCAGTTTACATTTGGTCTCACTCTGACAGTGGAGGAGGCCAAGGATGGACATGTCACCAGGGTAGTGGGAAGGGGAATTAAAATGGATGGCAACCAGAAGGTCGAGTTAGTTGGTGCATGCAAAGCGCAGATGCTCTGCGAACCGGTCCCCGAGTCTGTGTTTGATCTCCCAGATATAGAGGAGATCACATCGGGAGCAACAGATACAATAGATCAGGTTGGATGAAGTGCAGGTGAATCCCTCTTGGATCTGGAAGGATTGTTTGGGGCTTTGGATGGAGGTGAGAAGGGAGATGTAAATCAGGTGTTGCACTTCTTATGGTTGCAGGGACAGGTACTGGGTGTGGTGAAGTTGGCAGGGTGTGTACAGCTGACAAGGGAGTTGTGGAATGAACAGTCCCAGTGGAAAGTGGATAGGGGTGGGGCAGGAAATATCTTTTTTGGTGGTGGGGTGGTACGTGAGGACTAATGGGACTCTATCCTTAGTATTGTTGGTGGGAGGGGTTTGAGGGCAGAAGAATGGGAAATGGAGATGTGTTTGAGGGCATCGTTAATTACAGAGGAGGGGAAATTATGGTCTGTAAAGTAAAAGGATATCTGGGATGTCCCTTGCAACGTGCCTTAATGACTACTGCCCAGTGGCTTCGACCTCGCTAATCATGAAGTGCTTCAAGAGGCTGGTCATGGCCCACATCAACTCCAGTCTCCCAGTCTGCCTCGATTCCCTACAATTTGCCTTCCGACATAATTTTTCCACAGGGGTTGCCATATCCCTAACCCTGCACTCATCCCTGGAACATCTGGACATCAAAGACACCTGTGTCTGCCTCCTGCTTGCTAACCACAGCTTCCCCTTCAACACCATTATCCCCTCCAGACTGATCTCAAAACTCCATGATCTTGGTCTTGGCTCCGGCCTCTGCAACTGGGATCCTCAGCTTTCTGACCCACAGATTGCATTCAGTGAAGATAGGTAACTGCACCTCCTCCACAATAACACTCAACACTGGAGCCCCCCCTCAAGGATGCGTCCTCAGCCCCCTACTATACTCCCTTTACACCTACGATTGTTGCCAAATTCTGAACAAACACCATCTACAAGTTTGTTGATGACACCACCATAGTGGGATGAATATCTAACAACGAGTCAAACTACAGAAGGGAGATAGAGGGCTTGGTGCAATGAAAACAAACTGTCTCTCAACATCGGTAAAACTAAAGAAGTGATCATTGACTTCAGAAAGAAAGGAGGAGACCATGCCCCCATCTACATCAACGGAACTGAGGTTGAGAGGGTGAAGAGCATCAAGTTCCTTGGAGTGATGATAATCAATGATCTGTCTTGGACTCCCCAAGTAGATGTGACAGTCAAGAAGGCACAACAATGCCTCTTCTTCCTCAGGCAGCTCAGGAAATTTGACATGTCCATAAGGTCTCTCATCAACTTCTACAGATGCACCGTTAAGAGTAAACTGTCCGGGTGCGTAACAGCATGGTTTGGCAACTGCTTTGCCCAGGACCGTTTTTAAAAAAAAACTACAGAAGGTGGTATGCGTAGCCCAGACCATCATGGAAGCCAACCTTCCATCCATTGACATGGCTCGCTGCCGCAGATAGGCTGTCAATATCATCAAAGACCCATCGTACCCTAGTAATAATCTCCTACAACCTCTTCCATCAGGCAGAAGATACAGAAGCCTGAACACACGCATGACCAGGTTCAGGAACAACTTCTTACTGGCCATTAGCAGACTGATGAATGGACTGTCTAGCCTCAAATAATGCTGATCTTGCTAATATTAATCTCGCCTAGTGCATGCCCTATGCAATGTAATCTCTATGGCTCAGTCTCTGATCTGTACATCCTTTGCTTACTATGATCTGCCTGTACCACTCGTAAACAAAGCTTTTTGAGGTATTTTGGTACACGTGACAAATAGATCAAATCATTCTAGGAGCAGATGTGGTGGATGCATTGAGTGTATGAGATTGCATTTTTGCAGGAAGGTGGGTGAGAGGAGGTATAGTTAAGGTAGTTGTGGGAGTCAGTGCATTTGAAATGGATCTCAGGCTTGAGATGGAGACAGAGAGGTCCAGGAAGGGGAAGGTGTCAGAAATGGTCCAAGTGCATTTGAGGGTGAGTTGGAAGGTGTTGGTGAAATTGATGAACTGCTTAAGCTCCTCACAGGAGCATGAGGCACCACCCATGCAGCCATCAATAAAGAGAAAGGTGGTGCCAGTGTAAGGGTATTTGCAAAGGTATGAAGAAAACTCTAAAGTGGCTCGGAAAACAGACTAAGGGGGGGAAATGGGCAGATACTTTATAATGCTCAGCAAAAACTTATTTATGTCAAAAAGAAGGACTTGGGAAGGAAGAACCTCCATTTGGTTATCAAAGGCAGTCGAGTAGAGCATCCAATCAAAAACTAAGGCATACAAAGCAACTCAAACTAGTGACAGATTGAAGATACTGATGGGAAGATATTATGTTGAAAGAGGATGGATTTGAAGGGGAAAGGATAGAATTAATTTGCTTAGAATTGAGAACAGCATGTGATCATGTCACTGCGGATATTCTATAGCCTTACTTGGATAAGAATAATCATTGTATTATAATGTTTAGATTATTGTTCTTGATAACAAAAATTTCTAAATTAGAAAAGGACTAACTTTGATGGATTGAGAGACCGCTAGGAACAAGATAAAACTAATCTTTTTAAAGATGTTTTAGACATGGTTTAGGTATGTTGCAGAAAGGTGAAATGACAGGAAAGCAAAGCTTGGCGTTCCATGGAAAGTTCTACAAGATGAAACAACAGTCTGTTTACTGCATGTCAGCTAAATTCTTAAAATGACATGCTGGCCAAATTCAATAAGACTGGCAATAAGAGTAGATTAGCAGTTAACTTTAGAAATTTTTAAATGGGCGTTACAGTAGGGAGCTCAAGACTGCCAAGTCTCGTTCAGATTTATACTTTTGGTTCTTAATCATTGTGTAGTTTATTTCTCCGGCTCTAATTGTTCTTAGCCCTTCTGGCTAAATACTCCGGAAGGACGATGGTTGCTCGAACCAATGCAGCTCTAACGGTCGCTATTCCTGTAATGATACCTTGGGGAGGGTCCGCAGACCACTAAACAATAACGGTTAGTTGCTGCTTCCACATAAAACCTTACGAAGTAAAATTATACTCTCGAAAACTGGCTGCTCAAAAGCTATCAAAATAAGTATAACCACAGCAACTGGACTAAAAATTGCATTTCAATTATTCGTGCTGTGTTTCGTCTCTAAGTGCCTCCGGGTGTAAATCCGGGCGTTAAAAGCACGTCCGGGTCGGACCGGGTGGAGTGCAGCGTTGGTCGTTGGTAAGGATAGGGTTCGGGGCTTCATGCCAGCATTAAATCATAAATACAAATTAACAGCCCTGGGCTGTTAAGCTTGGGGACAGGGGGTCATCAGTTACCCTGGTAAGGGAGGGAAGGTTGGTCTGGCGGCTGGGGCTCCGCGTATAGCCCAGGGTAGTGGCGGACTCCGTGACCGAGGTTGTGGCGAAAGGGATTGTGTGTACGAGTGACTCGCAGAAAACCGGGTGTCTCATTTGCACGGAGGGTCCATCGGTCAAATTGGTGAGGGTAAATCCTGGGTTCCGTACCGGGCTTGCCCCGTTCCGAGTTTGCGCGGATGACGGCTGGTGGGACAAGAGCAGGGTGAATGGCGGCGGGAGCAGCGCGCATTGAGTGGGCGGGAGGCAGGCAGGGAGACTCAACGGGCGGATTCTGGGGGAGGGGAGTCACAACTCATTGAACAGGCGGGTGACGGTGAGGCTCACCGGGCGGACTTTGGAGGGGAAGCGCGGCGCGGTGAGACTGAACGGGGTCACTGCGATTCTGGAGGGGAAGCAGCGCACCCTGAGCAGACGGGTGGTAGTGAGACTGACCAGGCGGATTCTGTAGGGGAGGGATTACCACACATCGAACAAGCGAGTGGCGGATTCTTGAGGAGGATCACCGCGCATTGAACAGGCGGATATTCGGCCCGGGGCGGGGGTCGGGGGGATGGGGTGATCACCGCTCGACGTAAACTGACGGTTAGTAGCAGCTCCACAGCGCGAGGCGAAGTGGCAGTTGATCTCGAGCACGGGCGGTTACTCCCGGGCTGCGGGCGGGCGGATTGGCTCCTGGGCGTTACTCGCTATTGTTATCCATTGTGTCACTACCGTGTGATTGGCATGCGAACCAGCCAATTACAATCGGTCATTGCGAAGAGGCAGGTTTTGTGTGCAGACGTGAGCCGAATCTATCCACACTTCCCGCCAGGGTTTCACTCTTAGTTGTCCACTCCTTCATTTTGGGGGAATTTAACAAAAAATCTTCCAGCTCAAGTTATCCAGGTTTATCAGTTGCTTCCTCTAAGTACTCCTGATCTGATTGTTTTCAATGTGCGAATGTAGTGTGAGCAGCCTATTTGGGCGCTTCACGGCGAAAGCAGTCCTGTCCCTCCGTTGATATCATCGGATAAAGATGACATATGGGAACCTCAACTGAGCTGGCAGAAATTAATTGAGTCAAGAAATAGGCTGATTTCCCTAAATCTAAACTTTTCATTTTACCATTTGTGCGCATTATTCTTTTAAAATATAAATTGATGTAATACTGGAAGACTTTTGGGTTTGGAGCACAGAATAATTTACCAGATTGTGTAATGTTGGATTAAAGTCATACCTTATGTGTCATCATTTTCATTTTATAGTGTATATTATTAAGTAATAAAATTTTTGATAGTTTAATAAAGCAAAGAATTAAAGTCGTTGGAGATTTGCTATTTTTCTAGTTACGCTGTAAAAAGGGTGAACTTGGGAGTGAGAGCATTGTAACTGGCAAAAATGTAATTGCAGTGTGCCAAGGCTAATAGTTCCCCTTTGAAATGTGGACTAGAATTTATAATGAAATTTGGTGATAGGAAGTTGTTTTGTGGACAACTGGTTCAAATTAAATTGTCCAACATTCTTAAGAATGTGGGAATAACTGACGAGCTGTAGGATTTAAGAAAAAGGAATCTTTGAATTTTGCAGCATAGGAAGAGGCCATTTATCCTATTGTGACTGTATCACTACTTTGAAAGAACTATTCTATTTAATCCTGCACCACAGCCTTTTCCCCATAATCCTGCAAAAAAGTCTTTTGTAAGTACATGCCCAGTTTCCATTTAGAGGATTCTGTGAAATGTTTTTTTACCTACTTCAAAGTTCCTCTTTATCCGTTCATGGGATGTGGCCCTTGCTGGTTAGGCCAGCTTTTATTGAGCTGGAGAAGGTAGTGGTGAGCAGTCCTTAGGTGTAGGGACACCACCAGCACTGTCAGGCAGTGAGTTTCAGGATTTTGATTCCACAACACATCTTGTTGAAGGAGGATCAGTGATTTGCTGTAGTGGATCTTATAAATGGTACATACTGCTGCCTCAGTGTATATTGGTGGTGAAACGAATGAATTTTGAAGATGGTGATTGGAGTACCAATCAAGTGGGCTATTTTTGAATTTGTCGAGTATTGTTGGAGCTGAATAGTATTCCATCATTCTCCTGATTTGTGCCTTGTTGATGGTGGACGTGTACTAGGGAAGAAGGATATGAGTGACTCAGTGTATAATTCAAGCCTCTGACCAATCCTTGTAGCCACAGTATTTATGTGGCTAGTCCAGTTGAATTTCTGGTTAATAACAACCCCCAGAAGATTGATAATTGGGAATTCACTGCTTTGGGAACAGAAAAGTTGCTAAAGGTGCTGAATGTACAGCTGAACAACCCTACTGCTGACCTCATGATAGAGGGAAGATCATTTGTGAGGCAGCTAAAGATGGTTTGGCCTTGTACACTGCCCTGAGGAACTCCTAGAATGAAGTCCTTGAATTAATATGATTGATCTCCAACACCATAACCATCTTCCTTTGTGTCAGTGGAGAATCAATGGAGAACATCCTCCAATTCCTATTCACTGTAGATTTGCTAGGAGTCCTGAATGTCTGTTCTGTCAAATGGTGTCTTTTATGTCAAGGCCAGTTACTCTCACCTGGTTGCCAGAGTTTAAGTCTTTTATTCCTGGGTGAACCAAGGTTGCAATGAGGTCAGGAAATGAGTGAGTGGCCCTGGCAAAACCCAAACTTAGCATCAGTGAGTAGGTTATTCCTTTGCTAGTGTCACTTAATAGCACTGTTAACAGCCCCTTCCATTATTCTGCTCATGACTGAGAATGGACTGATTGGGTGGTAACTGGTCATATTGGATTTGTTCTGCTTTTTGTGTATTAGACATACTTGCATAATGTTCCACATTGTCTGGTAGATGTCAATATTCTAACACCACTGGAACAGCCTGGTTAGGTGCGCGACTAGTTCTGGAGCACACATTTTCAGTACTACGTGTGAAATGTCAAGGCCCAAAACTTTTTGTAGTCTCTGTACCTCCTGCCATTTCTTGATATCACGTAGTGAATTGAATTAGTTGTTGTGTGGCATCTCTGATGCGAGGGATTTCAGAGAGAGGCTGAGGTGAATCATCCACTTGGCATCTCTAGTTGAAGATGGATACAAATAAAATCATAGAATCCTGATAGTGCATAAAGAGGCCAGTCAGCCCATAAAATCTGCACTGACCCTAAGAACAGTATCCCATCCAAACCTACTCCCTGACTCTATCCCTGTAATTCCCGCATTCCCACATTCCTGGACACTATAGGACAAATGATTCAGTCCTTTGGACTGATAGGCTAGGCTGCTCCATCAATGATAATATATATGGAGCCTCCTTTTCCTTTTAGTTTCCTCCTTGTCCGGTGCCAGTCATAATGGGATGTGGCATGACTGCAAAGCTTATATCTGATCTATTCGTTGTGGGATCAGTTAGTCTTGTTTTTTACATGTTGTTTGATGTGCAAGTTGTCCTGAGTTCTAGATTCACCAAGTTGGCACCTCGTTTTTACCTATGCTTGGTGCTGCTCTCTTGGCATGTCCTCCTGCACTCTTCATTGAACCAGGATTAATCTCTCATTAGTTTGTAATGGACTAAGGTGTTATGCCTAGCTGTGAGGTTATTGTGGTTGGATACAGTTCAGCTGTTAATGTTAGACTACAGCATCTCATGGATGCCCAATTTTGAGTTGCTAGATCTGTTGGAAGTTGATTGTATTCAGTTCAACAATAGGGTACACAACACAATATTGCCAACTTTAATGTGAAGCCTGGACTTTGTGTCATCATTGACTTGTGTGGTTATCATTCCTAATGATCGTGCCATAGACAAGTGCCTCTGTAAATGGTGAAGTAAGTTTGGCTTATTGGCTCCCTCATTGCTGTCATGGACTCAGTGGATGCACTGAATGCTCACAGTATAGAGTGTAGCATATTGGCAAGGACAGAAGATTGGTTAGCTAGTTGGAAACTGGGAAAGCTTAATGGATAATTTTAAGGTTGGCAAGATGTAATGAGTGGTGTGCTATACGTATCAGTGTTGGGGCCTCAACCTATATTCATCCATGACTTGGATGAAGGGACTGAAAGTATGATTGCTGAATTTTCTGATCATAGAGTAAAAGTTTGTAAAGTAAATTGTGAACAGGACATAGAGGCTACAAAGGGATATGGGTAGGTTAAGTGAGTGGTCAAAAATCTGGAAAAAAGAATATAATGTGGAAATATGAAATTGTTCATTTTGGCAGGAAGAATAAAAAAGAAGCATAGTAGCCAAATGGTGAGAGATTACAGAGCTGTGGGATGCAAAAGGTTAGTCTGAAGCTATAGCAAGTAATTAGGATAACAAGTAGAATGCTGTTTATTGTGTGCGGAATTGCAAAGCAAGGAGCTTATATTTCAATTACACAGGGTAATGATGAGGGCTTATCTGGCATTCTAAGTACATTGTTGGTCTCCTTATTTAAGGAAGCTTGTAAGTATGTTGGAAGAATTTCAGAGAAGATTTAATAGACTAATATCTGCAATAGGCAGGTTGTCTTATGAGGCAAGGCTGGACAGACTAGACTTGTATCTCCCAGAGTTTAGAAAAGTAGACGTGACCTGATTGAAACATTTAAAATCTTGAGGCATCTTGACCGGGTTGATGTGAAAGGGATGTTTCCTCTTCAGAATGAATCCAGAACTGGGGCCACTGTTTGAAAGTAAAGAGTTGCCCATGTAAAACAGAAATGAGGCTCAATTTTTTTTTTTAATCAAGTGTCACAAGTGTTTGGACCTGTCTTCTTCAAAAAGCAATGGAAGCAGAGTCTTTGAACAATTTTAAGGAAGGAGTAGATAGACTCTTGGTAAGCAAGCGGCCTGGGGAATGGATGCAGGGGAAGGTTATTGGGGGTAAGTGGTGTGTGGAATTGAGATTGCAATCAGATCGCTGTAAACATACCAAATAGCAGAACGAGCTGGAGGGCCGTGTGGCCTACACCTGTTCCTGGCTTATATGTTTGTATTTTTGTATTTCAAGTACAAAATTCGTAAATAAAAAAGCCAAAAAAATAGCATTACTGTCACGATTTACAATGTCTTCTTAACTTGTCAATGTTACTGTTGTATAGCATAAAGCAACTTACATTTCTTTCTAAATGCTGTATTGCATGTAGCCAAGTACATATGAGCAGTTTCAGGGATGAGCGATTTTAGCTACTAGGAGAAGCTGGGGTTATTCTTGGTGGAGCAAAGGAGGTTGAGGAGAGTTGAGGTTTTGGGCTAATCACACAGGAACTGAGTGGTAATGACATGTAACTTGCCTGTGAAAATGATGAATGATTTCAGAAGGAATTTGGTTTGGTCCTGAAGGAAGGAAACTTGGCATATGGCAGAACGTGTTTATGTAGGAACAAAAATAGGCCATTGAGCTTCTCTCACCATTCAGTACAATCACTGCTGATCAAATGTTTCAATGAGTCTTACCTATGCCAACCCCATAATTCTGTGTGATTTTGGTTGTCTGAAATCTATCAATCCCTACTCAAACGTACTCAAAGACTGAAATTCCATTGCCCTCTGGACAGAAATTCCAAAGGTTCACAACTCTCTGAGTGAAAACATTTCCCCTCATGGATCAAAGTGGTATTCCCCCTTATTTT